TATCTCCCTCCTTCCTGGCTAATGGGGCAGCCTTGATCCTTGGGAATCCAGGACAGATATCCACTCGTGACAAACTAGCTGGAAGAATGACAACCAATCAGGTTCTAAGCACCACTGGATGTGAACCACAGAATTTTCCCCTCTCCTTGTGGAATATCAGCTTATGTCTGACAAAAAAACGTAAAACTGAGAGAGTTACAATCTTAAGGAGGAGTCAAGCTAAAGCAAAAAGAATCACCTACTCTGGATTTCAGCGTGACTGCTGAGCTCAAATATATACAAAGAGAGAAAGAACCACAAACTTGAAGATGGATATCGGCTACAGACTTTCCTGAGTCAGGTAGGGAAACTGCCATCCCTCAAACCTTGCAAAAGGCAAACTTATGCCTTGTGTCCCCTGACGTACTGGGTGATGTACTGTATGTTACTGAATTGAGGGGAACTTCCTAAATTGGCTAGTAAATTATGCCAAATAAAAAGCAAAAATGATAATTCTTGAAATGTTACACCTGAGGAACATTGCTAAAATAATTTATCAGTAGTTTTCAGGATGATTTGTAGATGTGCATTGAAGTGTGTGCTTGTGCTCTCTCTCTCCTCTCTCTCTCTCTTTCTCTCCTTGCCTCCCTCCCTCCCTGCCTTTCCTTCCTCTCCCCTCCACAGCAGTTTATTTTTTTTTCTGATAATCTAACTTTGCTGAGGGTTCAATGTAATGCAGCTTCAGTGATGAGTTAGTTGGAATGTTCCCCAAGAAATTCTATTTCCAGCAATCATATACATGAAATCCAAGAACCTCTCAGACTATCTTACTGACACCTTGCCTTTCCTCAACAAATCAATCTTATCAATGTCCATCATAGATATTTTGTAGAATGGTAGATCCTGGCAGAGTCTCACAGATGCTTCTGAGACATCATTTGCTTTCAAAAAATGAACCACACACATCCTAAGGATCTCAGCCACTTTCCATGATTCATTTTATGTTACAGCAAACATCACAACAATCATTCCTATAGATCACCACTGCATGTGATCAATAAAATAGTTTTGCCACAATGATACTTATGCTAATCATCTTTTATTGGTTACAAAGCCTGCTTTACAATAGTTATTCGGTTGCACTGTTCATATTAGATTTCCAATTAGTTCACTTAGGAACATGAGTCCCTCGAACAGCTCGGTCATCTTTTCCATTCCCATTTCTATCCCCTACATCTCTTTCATTTGCAGAAGACTGTCTCCTACACTGAAACAGGAAAGCTTTTACCTTTTTGGCATGCTTGATTTAAAGATTATATAAAAGTATTTGACAAAGAAAACTCATGCATGTGTATGCATGTCATTTAAAAATTTATATTTATGCATTGCACAAGAATATTGAGAATGCTACTAGGCAATGTCAGAGTTTACTTTTTTTCCAAAATTAGTACAGTTTTATTATTTCTAAAAACTGTAAAATGAATATATTCACACAACCATACAGAAGAGTAGGAAGAGAAAGTGTCATTGTTCCTCCTCTGCAATCCCAGGAGATAACTACCAAGCACAATTTATGTGGTTCCTTTACAAATCAGCCCATATTTATATACATATATAATCAATTTAGATGGGATCATGATATCTCACCACACATACTCTTCAGTGGCCTGCATTTTCACAAACACCTTCCACATAACTATATAGAAGCCTATGTCTTCCTCTTACTGTCTGGCTTTGTGCTACATTGTAAAGCTCTAATAGGAGTTTCATTAAACTCCTATTAATGAGGATTTCAGTTGTTTTTCACTTTTTAAACAATATTTCCATGCGTAGTCTTATATATAAGTCTAGACACTCTTATCCCAGTCTAAGGAGCTCCTTTTACCTTTCCCAGTCCCAGCACTCCCTGTCATGCTTGCTGCTTCCGTTGGGTGACTTTACTCCTGGAGTATAATCTGCATATAGTTCAGTTAAGTACATGGGTTCTGAGTTTAGGTCACAGCTCTGCCACTTACTGCCATATGCCAGTTCCTTGACCTCTCTGCCCTCAAGTTTTTGCACCTACAAAATAGGGGTAGTTCATAGAGTCTTGGGAATAATTAAATGTGATGATCCATGTACAATGTCTGGCACTTAAGCAAGTGCTCAATAAATGTCACCCTTTATGATTGGTATTGCTTGTATGTCTGCAGAGAAAATCATTTTATGTCCCCTTTAAAAAAGGACTGTGCCCTTGGTCAGCTATTTTGCACATTTAAATTTCACTTGCCAATGTTAACTCTCCACCTCTATCTTGATCCCTCTCATTCCTCATCTTCTGGTGAGACCAACTGCTGATTTGGCTATTCAAGGCAACTAGCAAAGCTGCCAGTGACAGAATCAAATAAACCTACCCTTAATCTTTAGAATTATAGTTATGATTTGTGTTGTAAAAGTTACTATTGTGGTAGTCAGTATTAGTTTCTGGTCTATGATAGCATCTCTGATCTATTATTGATTTTCAATCGTGTATTTTTTTTTATTTATTCTGAAAATATTTGTTAATCATTTACTAAGTAAAGATACTGGACTGGGACTGAGCCTCCCAAATACAGGACAAATAAAACATTGAACAACTTATAATTTAGAAGGGTAGAAGAGAATCTGAAAGCAGGTAAAAATAAGGAGGCACTCGGCCAGGCGCGGTGGCTCACACCTGTAATCCCAGCACTTTGGGAGGCTGAGATGGGTGGATCACGAGGTCAGGAGATTGAGACCATTCTGGCTAACGCGGTGAAACCCCGTCTCTACTAAAAAAATACAAAAAAATCAGCCAGGCATGGTGGCGGGCAGGGTGGCAGGCGCCTGTAGTCCCAGCTACTGGGGAGGCTGAGACAGGAGAATGGTGTAAACCTGGGAGGCGGAGCTTGCAGTGAACCGAGCTCGTGCCACTGCACTCCAGCCTGGGTGAGAGAGCGAGACTCCGTCTCAAAAAATAATAAAAAATAAGTAGGCACTTTAGGCCCAGTGATCTGTCTCTGTACTCTGTAAATTCAGGTCACCTGCTCAGGGATAATCTGAGAGAAGGTCTCTCTTCAGTTGAATCTTGAAAGACAATTAGCAGTTCACAAGCTAATCCAAGTGGACAAAGGTGTTCCCAAGCAGAGGGAGTGCAAAAGCTGGAGGCCATAGCAAAACTGTAAGGAGTGTCGGGAGGTGGGAGTAATGTATGGAAGGGGTGGAGATGGAAGGTTAAGAGAGATACAAGACTGCAAAAATGGAGCCGGACTCAAAAGAAAACACTGCAAAGGTCTTCAGTGTTGTTGATGAGATCACTGTGGAAACACTATGGAACACTGGGACTCCATGGCAGCTCCAAAGATGGCATGCACCTGGTCCAGCTCAGTAAGAGCTGAGCTCTACCTGTGCTGTGACAACAGACACACCAACCAAGTAAAGTCTACTTTTCTACTCTGTTAATCTTCACTTTGGTTTCATATACCATCCGTAGCTACATTTCAAAATGCACTTCAAAGTTTTGAGCCTTAATTTGATATACATTTAGTCTACCTTTTTAAAAATAACATTGCAGCAAAGGAGAAGTTAAAATAGTAAGACAGCCTGTAATTATTACTCACTGAGAAGCTGATGATTTCCGTAGTTACACTAAATGAAGTTTATCCTTTGCAAAAGCCCCCCAGCCCACCCCAAAAGAAAGTACAAAAAATAACTGACCCTTTTTTTCATTGCTTGTTTTTCTTTGTAATTTACATTCAGTCTACTTTCTAAAAAATAAATAAATAATAAGCAGTCCAGATGTAGCAAGTTGCTAAAGAAAGGAACCATCAGGCCATAGAAATAAATACATTCTCTTCTTGGCTTTTAGATCTCACCTAAGAAAATAAACATATGCTATGTCAGAGAAGCCTCAGGGCTTCCACACCTGCTCGAAAAGGGAGTTGAGCTTCAGCAGCTGACCCAGGGCTCCGTTCCCCTTTGGTGAGAAGGGTTTTTGTACAGCAAGACAATGGAGAGCTCTCACTGTGGTGGACGTTCGGCCAAGGGACCAAGCTGGAAATCAAACGTGAGTAGAATTTAAACTTTGCTTCCTCGTTGTCTGTGTCTTCTGTTCCCTGTGTCTATGAAGTGATCTATAAGCTGACTCTGTAATCAGACTCTGACATCCTTCAGGGAAAATATAAAGATAAGTCTGTAGTCAAACTCCAGAATTGAGTGTACATTTTCTTTGAAGAGCAAGCAAGATTCATTCATTGGGTAAGAATAACTTGCCTAAGCAATAGCTTCAGAAATGTCCTGGGGAACATAACATGTTCTGGACAGAGCCTTGGTCAATTGTCAGAAAGGGAGTTTTTGTATAGGAGGGAGGTTAAGAGGAACCATTGTGTGTACAGTTTTGGCCAGGGGACCAAAGTGGAGATCAAACGTAAGTACTTTTTTCCACTGATTCTTCACTATTTCTGTCTAATTAGTTTACTTTGTGTTCCTTTGTGTGGATTTTCATTAGTTGGATGTCAGGGAACTAACAAACTTCATTCCCAGGTTAGGTACAGTGGAGGGGAAATTGTTCCACAGCAGGCTAGCTTGTGGCTAGCTTTTAAGATTTCTAAATCAAAGTAACTTCAGTGGGGGAAGGAGGTTTGCTGACCTTTCAGGGAGGTTTTTGTAAAGGGAGAAGTTAAGACGAATCACTGTGATTCACTTTCGGCCCCGGGACCAAACTGGATATCAAACGTAAGTACATCTGTCTCAATGATTCGTGAGATTTTGGTGCCATTGTATCATTTGTGCAAGTTTTGTGATATTTTGGTTAAATAAACCTGGTGACCCAGAAGTAAACAGTGGGACACCAGAAAATCAACTTAAAAAGCTGAGCAAATAGACAAATCACTGGGTTTGGGAGGAGAATAGGATTCATGGGGGAAATGGGAAAGAAATAGCTAGATTTTTCTCTGAACAAGCAGCCTATCTCATGATTGGCTTTGAGGGAGGTTTTTGTTGAGGGAAAGGGTAAGATCCCTCACTGTGGCTCACTTTCGGCGGAGGGACCAAGGTGGAGATCAAACGTAAGTGCATTTTTGAAATGTTTTTTCTTATAAGGTTGTAAATTTGGGGAATTTTTATGTTTAAGATATTAGCTCAGGTCAATTCCAAAGAGTACCAGATTCTTTCAAAAAGTTAGATGAATAAGGGACTGAAAATTAGTTCATCTTAAGGGATAGCCAAGTGCTAGCCGGTTAAGTGAGGCATCTAAATTGCAAGATTTTCTCTGCATCAGTTAGGCTAGTGATATTAACAGGGAAAACAGATTTTTGGTAAGGGGAAAGTAAGTTAATACTGTGGATCACCTTCGGCCAAGGGACACGACTGGAGATTAAACGTAAGTAATTTTTCACTATTGCCTTCTGAAATTTGGGTCTGATTGCCAGTATTGACTTTTAGAGGCTTAAATAGGAGTTTTGTAAAGATGGGTAAATTAGGGCATTTAAGATTTATCATGGGTTACAAAAGTTAAACTCAGCTTCAAAAATGGATTTGGAGACAAAAAAATTAAATTGTTCTAAACTGAATGACACAAAGTTAAAAAAAAAAGTGTAACTAAAAAGGAATCCTTGTATTTCTAAGGCGCAAAAGTAAATTTATTTTTGTTCACTCTTGCCAAATATTGTATTGGCTGTTGCTGATTATGCATGATACAGAGAAGTGGAAAAATATATTTTTTAGTCTTTCTCCCTTTTGTTTGATAAATTATCATTTCAGACAACTATAAAAATCAATAGCACGCCCTAAAAAAATCAGGAAAAAGTGACGTGTTCCTATTTGCTATGTAGAAGAGGCAGCTTACTTGAAAATCCGCAGCAATGTTGTTTTCAGAGTCTATAATAAGCAATAAACTCAAAAAGACACATTCTGTAGGAATAAGGGCTTCACAGATAGAGATCATTTTTTAAAAATCCAATTTGTCCATTAGACTAAACATGAAATTATCTCTTATTGCAATGGTGGAAAGGTGGTTATTCCCAAAAGCTCAATCTCAAAGAAATGTGTTTAAATGAAAAAAAGTAAATAATTGCAATTTTTAATGACCGTGGGTCTATGAAAAAATAGGAAATCTTTTAAAGAGTATGTTCTTTTATTACACTCTGTTATGACTTGTCTACATTTTTATTCCGCCAAGAAGTCCGTGGCACCGCGAGCTGTAGACAAAGCCGCGGTCTTTCTTGATTGAGCGGCTTTGGTGGCCTTGCCGCCGCCCTCTTGGGGCAGCTGCCTTGGCGCTAGCGGCCATGGCCACCCCGCGTCTGCGCGATTAATGCTGCCGTAGCCAGATTTCCTGATGCACAGTGATACAAATAATGCCATTAACGGAAAGAGAACAGAAACGTAACGGGCGCCGAACTGGGAAAACTAGGGAGAAGACTGATTTATTAGAGATTTCAGAAATAAAATTCACATTCATTACGATAGCTCATTAGTGAAAATTTCCATTGGGGATAGTAAAGAATTTAAAGCTTTTTTTTTCAGTGCTATTTATTTATTTCGATATCCTCTCATCAAACGTATTTAAATAACAAAAGCTCAATCAAAAAGAAAGAAATATGTAATTCTTTCAGAGTAAAAATCACACCCATAACTTGGCCACTGAGGGCTTGATCGATTCACTTTGAATTTGGCATTAAATACCATTAAGGAATATTAACTGATTTAAAAATAAGATATATTCGTGACCATGTTTCTAATTTTCAAAAATGTAGCTGCCGGTGTGTGATTATATTTCAGTTGTACAAAATATCTAAACCTATAGCAATGTGATTAATAAAACCTTAAACATATTTTCCAGTACCTTAATTCTGTGACAGGAAAATTTTAATCTGAGTATTTTAATTTCATAACCTCTAAAATAGTTTAATGATTTGTCGTTGTGTTGCTGTTGTTTACCCCAGTTGACTTCAAAAGTGATATTTAAGGAGGATTATTTTGGTCTGCAGCAACTTGATAGGACTATTTTAGGGTCTTTTTAAAGCTCTATTAAAACTAATTTACAACGATTCAAAACTGTCTGTTTTAAACTATTTCAAAATGATTTTAGAGCCTTTTGAAAACTCTTTTAAACACTTTTTAAACTCTATTAAAAGCTAATAAGATATCTTGAAATAATTTTCATATCAAATACATTGATTGTTTAATGTTTAAATGTCAGATGAAAAAGGTAAAGCTATTAAGAATTCACCCAGATAGGAGTATCTTCATAGCATGTTTTCCCCTGCTTATTTTCCAGTGATCACATTATTTTGCTACCATGGTTATTTTATACAATTATCTGAAAAAAATTAGTCATGAAGGTTAAAAGAGAAGAAAATATTAAACATAAAAGGTTCAGTCTTTCATGTTGAACTACTTGGTTAACAGCGAATTTAGCTTTTAAAAAAAAAAAAAAATCCTATTCCTGGTATCTGTTGACTTCTCCTGGCAAAAGATTCTTGTTTTTCGTTTTAACTACTGCTGTCCCACCCGACGACTGGAAATCCCCAGAGGGGGATTTCCAAGAGGCCACCTGGCAGTTGCTGAGGGTCAGAAGTGAAGCTAGCCACTTCCTCTTAAGCAGGTGGCCAAGATTACAGTTGACCTCTCCTGGTATGACTGAAAATTGCCGCATATGGTTACAGGCCTCGAGGCCTTTGGGAGGGCTTAGAGAGTTGCTGGAACAGTCAGAAGGTGGAGGGGCTGACACCACCCAGGCACAGAGGCAGGGCTCAGGGCCCACTGTGCAGGGAGGTTTTAGCCCAGCCCAGCCAAAGTAACCCTCAGGAGCCTGCTGCATAGTCGTGGAAGAGGCACAGCGGAAATAAAAGCAGACAGAGGCTTTTCTTGACTCAGCCGCCGCCTGGTCTTCTTCAGACCTGTTCTGAATTCGAAACTCTGAGGGGGTCAGGTGACGTGGCCTCTCTTTGCCTAAAGCATTGAGTTTACTGCAAGGTCAGAAAAGCATGCAAAGGCCTCAGAACGGCTGCAAAGAGCTCCAACAAAACAATTTAGAACTTTATTAAGGACTAGGGGGAAGCTAGGAAGAAACTCAAACATCAAGTTTTTGAATACACTTCTTGGCCTCCTTGCTATAATTATCCAGGATAAGCATGCTGTTTTCCGTCTGTCCCTAACATGCCCTGTGATTATCCGCAAGTAACACACCCAAGTGCAGAACTTTGTTACTTAAACACCATCCTGTTTGCTTCTTTCCTCAGGAGCTGTGGCTCCACCATCTGTCTTCATCTTCCCGCCATCTGAGGATCAGGTGAAATCTGGAACTGTCTCTGTTGTGTGCCTGCTGAATAACTTCTATCCCAGAGAGGCCAGCGTAAAGTGGAAGCTGGATGGTGCCCTCCAATCGGGTAACTCCCAGGAGAGTGTCACAGAGCAGGACAGCAAGGACAACACCTACAGCCTGAGTAGCACCCTGACGCTGAGCAGCACAGACTACCAGAGTCACAAAGTCTATGCCTGCGAAGTCACCCATCAGGGCCTGAGCTCGCCCGTCACCAAGAGCTTCAACAGAGGAGAGTGTTAGAGGGAGAAGTGCCCCGGGCCCCCCACTTGCTCCTTAGCCCCAGCCTCACCCCCTCCCATCCTTTGGCCTCTGGCCCTTTTCCCACAGGGGAGCTACCCCTATTTCGGTCCTCGAGCTCATCTTTCACCTCATCCTCCTCCTCCTCCTTGGCTTTAATTATGCTAATATTGGAGGAGAATTAATAAATAAAGTGAATCTTTGCACCTGTGGTTTCTCTCTCCTTCCTCATTTAATAATTATTATCCGTTGTTTTACCAACTACTTGATTTCTCTTATAAGGGACTAAATATGTAGTTGTCCTAAGGTGCATCAGCATTTATAAAAATCATCCTTCATTCTATTTTACCCCATCATCCTTTGCAAGACACTCCTCCCTCAAACCCACAAGCCTCCTGTCCTCACAGTCCCCTGGGCCGTGGTAGGACAGACTTGCTTCCTTGTTTTCCCCTCATAGTCCTTTTTAAGGGTGGCAGTTCTTACAGTCACACATCCTTTGATCTAATTCAACCTACCCTGAGAATCTACCAAAGCAAATTTTTCAAAAGAAGAAACCTGCTATAAAGAGAATCATTCATTGCAACACGATATAAAATAACAACACAATCAAAGCAACCTAAATGAACAAACAATAGGGAAATGTTTAAGTTCATCATGGTACTTAGACTTAATGGAATGTCATGCCTTATTTCCATTTTTAAACATGTACTGAGTGACTTCTGTCTGCCAATGGCCTTACTGAGTACTTTCCACACCTAATTTAATCCACACTATACTGTGAGGTTAAAAACATTCATTAAAATTTGCAAAGGTTCTATAAAGCTGAGAGATAAATATATTCTATAACTCAACAATCTCACTTCCAGATGACTGAGTGTCCCCACCCACCAAAAACTATGCAAGAATGCTCAAAGCAGCTTTATTTACAAAGCCAAAAATTGGAAATAGCCCGATTGTCCAACAATAGAATGAGTCATTAAACTATGGTATGTTTATACATTAGAATACCCAATAAAGAGAATTAACAAACTACAACTATACCTACTCACACAGACAAATCTCATAAAAATAATGTTACATAAGAGAAACTCAATCAAAAGTTATGTTCTGTATGTTTTGATCCACATAAAGTTCAAAACCAGGTAAAAATAAAATTATAAATTTGGATGGAAATTACTCTCAGCTGGGGGTGGGTGAGGTAGTGCCTGGGAGAAGACAAGAAGGGGCTTCTGGGCTTTTGGTAATGTTCTGTTCCTCAGTGTGGGGTTGTGAGGTTATGGTCTGTGCACTGTTCTGTATATACATTATGCTTCAAAATAATTGCACATAAAGAACATCTTATACACAGTTAATAGATAGAAGAGGTGGAGAGGAATAAGTAATAAGTCAAGACCATACAGCTGGTAAGTGAGGGGGTCTGGGATCAAATAGCTACCTGCCTAATCCTGCCCTCTTGACCCCTGAATAAGCCTGCCTTCCAGGGCTCAAGGTGCTGGACAAAACAGCAGGCCTGCCATTTTCCTGGCATCTTTGCCCTGTTTGTCTAGCCAGGAGCACACATACATAGAAATTAAATGAAACAGACCTTCAGCAAGGGGACAGAGGATAGAAGTAACCTTGCCCAGACACTGGAAACCCATGTATGAATGCTCACATGTTTGGGAAGTGGGAGGGGCACATGTAATACCAACCTTGACTCTTCCTCATTCTGTGGGGCACTCTGGCCCCATCCCTCTCAGCTACTCATCTATCCAACACACCTTTCTAACCACCTCTCTCTGCCTACACTCTGAAGGGGGTTCAGGAATAACTAATACAGCATCCCTTCCCTCAACAGATTGACAATCCCCTTGTCCTGCTCTGTTTTTCTTTCCCATCAGTGCTGGGACAGTGGGGAAGGACAGTCATGGAAAAACTCTTTAAGGAAGCACCTTGCCCTTCTGCCTCTTGAGAATGTTGATGATTATCAAATCTTTCAAACTTTGGAGGCTTGAGTAGGGGTGAGAAAGACTCAGTAATGTCCCTTCCAATGACGTGAACTTGCTCACTCATCCCTGGGGGCCAAATTGAATAATCAAAGGCAGGCATAATCCAGTTATGAATTCAAACCTTCTTCTCAGAAGGCAACACTCTGAAGCGAGACCCACCTATAGCCTAAGCAAGTGAAGACAGGTGCTGCAGGTGGAATTGCGTCCTTCAAAAAGGTATACTCAACACCTAGCTCTTGGTGCCCATAAACGTGACTTTATTTGGAAATAGGGTCTTTGCAGAGGTAATCAAGTCAAAATTAGGTCATACTGAAATGTCTGTGAGGATGTGGTGAAAATGGATCATTCATATATTGCTGGTGGGAATATGAAAGGGTATAGCTACTCTAGAAAATAGTTGTCAGTTTCTTGAAAAACTAAACAAAAGACACCTACCGTATGATCCAGGAATTGAATTGTGCTCCTTGGGAATTTGCCCCCAGGAAATAAAAACTGATGTCCACACAGAAACCCATACAGAATTATTCACAGCAGCTTTATTTGTTCTAGTCAAAGCTAGAAAGAGCCATTCCATCCCCCAATAGGCAACTGGTCTAACAAATTGTAATATATCCATACCATAGAATACTATGAGGCAATAAAAAGGAACGGAGTATTGATATAGAGAACAACTGGAGTGATTCTGAAGGACTTTCTATTGAGTGAAAAAAAGACAATCTCAAAGGGTCATTTGAGATTTAATTCCTTTTACGTAACATTGTTACATTATAGGGTGTTACATTATACCCTATAATGTAATTACACCCTATAATGTAATGTTACATTACACCCTATAATGTAATGTTACATTGTTACATTACAGAGTGACAACTTTATAGGGATAGAGGACAGATTCTGGTTGCCAGGGGTTAGGGTGGAGAAAAAAGAATAGACTAGACTATAAAAGGAGATCTTCATGATCATGGGATAATTCTCTGTCTTGATTGCAGTGGTAGTTACAGACAACTAGACATGTAATAAAATGACATAGAGCTGTACACACCTATTTTATCAATGTCAAATTCTTGGTTTTGATATTGTACTGTAATTATGTAAGAAGTAACCATCAGGAGAAAATGGGTTCAGGGCACATCAGACCTCCGTGCTTTATATCCTGTCTTTGCTACTTTCTGTGTATCTATAACTATTTCCAAATAATTTTTTTAAAAACTTTTTTTTTATGCTGGATCTGAGTGGGCCCTAAATCCAATGACTGGTGTCCTTAAAAGGACAAGGAGATTGGAGATGCAGGGACACACAGGAAGAATACCACGTGACCAAGAACGCCTCCAGCAGAGACCAGAGGGATGCCGCTGAGAGCCAAAGAGCACCAAGGATTGCTGGAAGCCACCGGAAGCGGGGGAGGTGTGGAATGGTTTCTCCCTGCACCAAGGATTGCTGGAAGCCACCGGAAGCGGGGGAGGTGTGGAATGGTTTCTCCCTGCACCAAGGATTGCTGGGAGCCACCGGAAGCGGGGGAGGTGTGGAATGGTTTCTCCCTGACAGCCTCCAGAAGACACTAACTCTGCCTGTGCTTTGAATTCAGATTTCTGTCTCCGGACCTATGAGAGAACAAACTTCTGTTGTTTTATGGCTCTTAGTTCGTGGTACTTTGTTAGGGAAGAACCAAGAAACTACTACAATGGGGATGGCCGAGAAGAGAGCACACCTCCCAAGGAACTCCCTTCTACACTAATGAGCCAGACCCCAGCAAGGGTTCACCTCCCCAGGTGGCTGGCCAAATCCACTCACAGAAATCAGGCTCCACAGGTCTGAGAGTTACTCAAATCCAAAAAGTTCAGGTCAGCATGAGTTAAAAGCCAAACAGACAAGAGGTCTAGCCTGCTTCTCCTGAGATGTGGTATGCTTTTGGCTCTAAAAATGAACTTTGGAATGAGAATGCCCTTACTCTGACAGGTACAGGCTGTGTGGCCCTGACAAGTTTCTCTTTTTATTATTGTTATTACACTTTAAGTTATATGGTACATGTGCACAACATGCAAGTTTGTTACATATGTATGTATGTGCCATGTTGGTGTACTGCACCCATTAACTCGTCATTTACATTAGGTATATCTCCAAATGCCATCCCTCCCCTTTCCCCCAACCCCACGACAAGTCCCCACCTTGTGTCCAAGTGTTCTCATTGTTCAATTCCCACCTATGCGTGAGAACATGTGGTGTTTGGTTTTCTATCCTTGCGATGGTTTGCTCAGAATGATGGATTCCAGCTTCATCCATGTCCCTGCAAAGGACATGAGCTCATTCTTTTTTGTGGCTGCATAGTATTCCATGGTGTATATGTGCCACATTTTCTTAATCCGGTCTATTATTGATGGACATTTGGGTTGGTTCCAAGTCTTTGCTATTGTGAGTAGTGCCACAATAAACATATGTGTGCATGGGTATATGCCTAGTAATGGGATGGCTGGGTCAAGGTCCTGAGCGAGTTTCTTAATCAGCCTGGGCCTCCCTTTCTCACCTGTAAGGTGCAGATCATGATGGTAATGCCTGATAGGTAAAGAATTGTGAAGATTAAAAGAGATAGCACAAGTAAAAAGCTCAGCACACTGTGGATTGTATGAAAAGCTCAGTGAGTGCCAGCTAGTGAGTGAACACATGTGCTTTCATTGATCTTCAGGGTAGGCTACTCTTTGGCTCCAAAGCTCCCTGGGTCCCATGGTAGATCTAAGGCAGAAGCGAGGCAAGAGAAAGAAAAGGAAAAGAGAAGAAATCAAAGAGGGAGGGAAAAAGAGAATGGAGGAGAGGAAAAAAATGTGAGAAAAATATGTCTGCAGAGGAAAACCAGGAAGGCCATCCCATGATATGCCCCATCTGTGGTAGGATGGGTATCCTTTCTCCAGGTCAGAGATGGCAGCTTGGCACACCATGTGGCTCACCAAGCATGAAACAGTGGTCATTCTGAGAGAGAAGAGGCAGGCCCACACCCATGGCACACAGAGCCTCATATCAACTGTGGAACGATGCCTGGACATGGGGGAAAACAGTGTATGGTGCCACGGAGACTAAGACACAGTAAGAAAAATGAAAACTTACTGATAGTTGGCAGTGGGGTTAGTATAACAATAAATGTTTAGTGTCACAAGATTGGGGCACTCCAAATGCTAACCACCACCTCCACTGACACTCTTATCAGTCACCTACACCATCCCAGGTAAGCTTG